CTAATTCTCAAAAAATTAGAGACCTCACGACATCTGTACTTGTTAAATTAAAAATAATAATTTAATTTAATTAAAGACTTAAAAAATGAGAGACCTCATGAGGTCTCTTAAACAAAAGAAAACCCTAGCCAAATTTATCTATCTCTTTCTTCCCTCTCTCTTTCTCATCGTTCATCTCTCTCTCTCTCATCGTCCCTCTCTCTCTCTCTCTCTCATCGTTAATCTCTGCCAGACTTCTCCATCTCCTCTCTCCGCCGTCATCTTCTCCATCTCCAGACGTGCCTCCATCTCCAGACGTGCCTCCATCTCCGCCTTCATCTTCTTCTGACGAGAAAGTCAGCCGCCTCCATCTCTGCGCGCCATTTGCAGTCGGGCCTCAGCAGGTGGAGGTCGCGCTGCCTCCATCTCCGTCGGGTCGTGCAGCAGCAGCAGTGGTCGGCGTTCCCAACCCTTTGACTCCAGGGGAATTTTTTGAACAAACTAGTTGGTTTTCGTAATTCTAAGTGCTTAAAATAATTAAAAAGTAGCAACTAGATTGAATGTTACCCTGTTGTATTAGTAATTTAATCATTCCCAATGTGATTATCTTTAAAAATTTTAAAAGAATTTGTGTCAAATAGATATTGAAAAAGTTTCTCAATCAATAATAATTTGTAAAACTAGTTGGCTTTCGTAACTCTTAATAGGGTACATGATTTTCTTTGAAAATAAGTTAGTACATGGGATCAAATACTTGATTTTCACCGTTGGAGTTCAAACTCTATTTTCTAGTGTTAACTTTTTTCCCTTTTTTCTTGCTAGGCCACTAAGGAAACTCAAAATCTAAAAAAGTTTATACAAGATTATACTACTTCTTTAATTTAATCAAAGTAGGAGATAAGGTATGGTAATTCTAAATTTAATAAAGTTGAAGTACAATTGTTTTCTATAATATGTGTTGTACCCATCTAATATTGATACTTAGCTTTAAATATGTGTTGACACTTAGCTTTAAATTTAGAAATAATTATTTATTAAGCTTAAGTATCAACACTACTTGATCCTATTGATGACAAAATTGATTTTCCTTGAAAATCAATTTGTGTCCATCTAGTGTTGACACTTACCTTTAAATTTAGAAATAATATATTGTTTAAGCATAAGTACAAATACTAGTTGATCCTATTGATGACAAAATTGATTTTCTTTGAAAATCATTTTGTGTCCATCTAGTGTTGACACTTAGCTTTAAATTTAGAAATAATTATTTGTTAAGCTTAAGAATCAACACTAATTGATCCTATTGGTGACAAAATTGATTTTCTTGAAAATCAATTTGTGTCCATCTAGTGTTGACACTTAGCTTTAAATTTTAGAAATAATTATTTGTTAAGCATAAGTACCAACACTAGTTGATCCTATTGATGACCAAATTGATTTTCTTTTGAAAATCAATTTGTGTCCATCTAGTGTTGACACTTAGCTTTAAATTTTAGAAATAATTATTTGTTAAATTTGTAACTATCGTGTTAGTATTAAGGTAAAACTAAACTAATTAAACTTAGAAATTTGTTAAGTTATTTGGTAAGTTAAACTTGTTACAATAGTATAAGAAATTAAGTTAAAATTAAACTAGTTAGAATTAGAAAGTTGTTAAGTTGGTTAATAAGTTACATTGGTTACTATAGTGTTGGAATTAAGTTAAAACTAAATTAATTAGACTTAAAATTTTGTTAAGTTGGTTAATAAGTTAAATTTGTGACTATAGTATTTGAATTAAGTTAAAACTAAACTAATTAGATTTAGAAATTTGTTAAGTTGGTTAATAAGTTAAACTTGTTACTATAGTATTAGAATTTAGTTAAAACTAGACTAATTAGACTTAGAAAGTTGTTAAGTTGGTTAATAAGTTACATCGGTGACTATAGTGTTGGAATTAAGTCAAAACTAAACTAATTAAACTTAGAAATTTGTTTAGTTAGTTAATAAGTTAAATTCATTTGCACAAGGCTCGTTAACCAATCCCTACTAGTATTGTTACAATTTGTTTTTAGTAAATTATTACATAATGTAGTGCTTGACAAATTTAATTTATGATTCTTATGTAAATGGATCGTAGTTGGATGTATAATATGACTAATTTTGGTCGAATGGGGCTAAGACCTGAATTTGTAGAAGGGGTGTCACTGGTTTTGTGGAGTATGCAAAGACATTAGATCCTTTTCAACGTAGTGGTATGATTAAGTGTCCTTGTAATAAATGACAATATTTGAAATATGATAAACCAGATGTTGTTGAGCTTCATATCTATCGAAATAGGTTTAAAAAAGAATACAGTGTTTGGACTAGTCATGGAGAAATTGATAATAACTTTGATTTATTTCAACATTATGTTCTCGGTGAGAGTAGTAGCACTGTGAATTGTAATGCACAAAATTATAGAATTGATGACATGGTTCAAGATGCTTTTGGTGTGCATTCTGATTTTGATTTTGCTAATAAAAGTGAAGAAGTACCTAATGTTGAATGTAAAGTTTTCTTTGAACAATTGGAAGCTACTAGTCGGCCTTTATATGAGGGGAGTCCACACTCACAGTTGTCTATTGCAGTTAGATTATTAAGTATCAAATCAGATTGGAATGTTCCTCAAGGGGCAATGGACTCTGTGATTGACCTTATTCATGATTTTGTTGACCCAAATCTAGAGATACCTAATAATTTCTATAAGGCAAAGAGGTTGGTATCAAAGTTAGGAATTTACCACGAGTAAGAAGACAATGAGAAATATACTAAAAGACACAAAGATTTAACGTGGTTCGGTCAATTGACCTACGTCCACAAAGGAGATGAGCAATCCACTATAAATATGAGAGTACAAAATATAGAGGGAAAAAACCTCAACCAATTCACTCGGAATACATGGGAGGTTCACACAAGTGATAACGTATCAAGCTTGTGATCCACAAATTCTCTCTCTAACCAAAACTCTCAAAGCCCTTAAGACTACATTGTGAATGTTAATTAAGTTAGAAGGAACATTCCTCTATTTATAGAGTCCTAAACCTTTTCCTACAAGAAAAGGATTAGTCAATCCAAAACTTTTTCCTACAAGGAAAACCTATTTATGGTAAGAAATTTAGGGCAAATAAAACCCACCTTTTTACAGTAATGAAGATTTTGTTGGAGAAATTGTTTCAGAGAGATTCTTTGTGTTGAGACATAAATTTTGCAAAGGAGATTATGGAGAGGAGAAGCAAGTTGTTGAAGATTAAGTCAAGAAGGTGGACAAATTTATTTTGTTAGAAATTCAGGCCAAGCGGGAGATTTGTTAGGTTTTATTTGCCCTAAATTTCTTACCATAAATAAGTTTTCCTTGTAGGAAAAGGTTTTGGATTGACTAATCTTTTTCTTGTAGGAAAAGGTTTAGGACTCTATAAATAGAGGCATGCTCCTTCTAACTTAATCAGCATTCACAATGTAGTCTTAAAGGGCTTTGAGAGTTTTGGTTAGGGGGAGAATTTGTGGGTCACGAGTTTGATATGTTATCACTTGTGTGAACCTCCCATATATTCCAAGTGAATTGGTTGAGGTTGTTTCTCTCTGTATTTTGTACTCTCATATTCATAGTGGATTGCTCATCTCCTTTGTGGACGTAGGTCAATTGACTGAACCACGTTAAATCTTCGTATCTTTATTTCTCGTTGTCTTCTTACTCGTGGTCTTTTGAGGTTTGTTTTGCTAGCTTTCGCGTCACACCTGCTTATTTACGATCCTAACACAAAGTCCTTTAAAAGCCTTAGAGAAAAATGAAGAATAATGATGACATGGGTACAAGCTCATAGCCTACACAAGTTTAGAACTCAACAAGCAACCTACTAAACATGGTAAAACTAATCTAGAATACAAGTACTCCTTTCATCCCAATCGAATTGCCTGAACTACAACCTGCATAAAAATCAGTCGAACCTAACAATTTATAATGAAGAACTCACAAGGTCTTACAATCATAGTCCAACAATCACAGTCCAATAGTCAACAAGTATCAAGTATGTCAATTACAAATATTACAGAGATCAATTATAAGTATCAAATAGTTCAATAACAATTATCAAGTAGATCACTCACAAGTATCAAACAGATCAATCACAGAGTTCCTCAAATCACTATAGTCAAATATTTGCTGCAATCATTTCCCTTTGGCACAATATCACTAGTCAAAACCATATCTCATCGGCTTTATATACTATCACTTGCCGGAACCAATTTCTTCGGGCAGAATATCACTCGCTTAAACTATTTTCCCATCAGTTTTATATAGTACTACTTGCCCAAACTATTTCCCTTCGCCACAATATCATTAGCTGGGACAATTTCTCATCGGCTTTATGTAGGATCACTTGTCGGAACCATTTCTCATCGAGCACAATATCTCTAGCTGAAATAATTTTCCATTGAGTTTATCTAGAATCAGTTGTCAAAATCATTTCCCTTCAACACAATATCATATCACATGTCTCATCATGATACATAAAAAATCAATGTAAATAAATAATTTCACACCATATAAAAGAGTATAAGATATTCTCAGCAAGTCCTCAAAAATCCTAATTTAAGGATTCTTTTGAGGTATAATCGAACCTTTTACTGTTCAAACTAATTAACGGAAGAAACGTCAATCATAATTGCTTCAGAAACTTACATGGATTTCTTTAATTTTTAATTTCTAGGTCAAATACATTGTTATTTAATAATAGGTTCACGCACAACACGGGTACAGTAAAATGAGTAAATAGTATAAATCTACAGACCCTTCTCCAAATTAAGGCCAAAACCTCATATATATATATATATATATATATATATATATATATATATATATATATATATACACTAAAAACCATAAATATTCTTGATTCAAAGGGTTATAATGAGCCAAACTCTTGACCCAAATTAAACATTGTTAAATGTAACAAAATTTTAACTAAAGAAGCAAAATTTCTGATTTGAATTAAATCCTTTAGCTAATTTTCATCATCCATAAAAGTATCACCTTGAGGATCATCATTATCGATCATGCTGATCACCTGCAATCAAAAACCATCAATAATAAGTAAAATTCTATAG